CTATCTATCTATCTATCCATCTATCTATGTTCATATCTATCTATCCATCTATCTATCTCCAGTCTGTTCATATCTATCTATCTATCTATCTATCCCCTGTCTGTTCATATCATTCTATCCATCCCTGTTCTGTTATCTATCCATATATCTCAGTCTGTTCATCTATCTATCCCTGTCTGTTCATATCTATCCATCCATTCATATCTATCTATCTATCTATCTATCTATCTATCTATCTATCTATCTGTTCATATTATCATCTATCATCTATCTATCTATCTATTCTCATCTCTCTATCTATCTCTCTATCTATCTCTCTATCTATCTCTGTTCATATCCTATCCATCTATCTATGTTCATTCATATCCATCTATCTATCCATATATCTCAGTCTGTTCATATCTATCTATCCCTGTCTGTTCATATCTATCCATCCCTGTCTGTTTATATCTATCTATCTATTCATCTATCTATCTATCTCCATCTATCATCTATCTATCTATCTCAGTCTGTTCATATCTATCCATATATCTCTCATCTATCTATCTATCTATCTATCTATCTATCTATCTATCTATCTCTATCTCTGTTCATATCTATCTATCCATCTATCTATGTTCATATTCTATCTATCCATATATCTCAGTCTGTTCATATCTATCCATATCCTCGTCTGTTCATATCTATCTATCCATCTTCCCTGTCCATGTTCATTCTATCTATTCTGTTTATCTATCTATCTATTTCTATCTATCTATCTATCTATGAACGGATTGGGTTTACTGGGTAAATACGAACTGAATGGAATAGACATTTCTTTATTTTCTTTTCTCGCATCAGCTGTATCAGTTTCAGGTCCGAGGAAATCTCAGATTGCTTTTTTGAACGGCGTCCATCCGCCATCTGAACTGGAAAATAAATGAATCTCCGGCGAATCCTCATTTTGATGGCCAATCCACTCATCAAAAAAATCCTCCCTTTCAAGAAACCAAACAAGCAAAACGTATTGATGACCCGAAATACGGGACCACTTTTCGGTTTTTCACACTCCGTCCGACAGGGTGCAAACGAACGCCAAATATAAACTTAGCAAGAAGAACATCGTTCGGTGTAATTTGTAAAACTGTTTGATTATTTAACTAGCAATAACTATCTTGGAAAACGCTCAAATTTACACTTTGATTCGTACATTCATAATTCCTCAAAAAGGTAAAACCGTAGAGAAAGAGTTAGTAAGCGAGCCGCGGCGGTTATTGCAATGGCAAAGAATTCGAACCCAATTTGTGAGTAGCAGCGCTATATCGAGTAGTGGGATGCGCACTGTTGATCTGTCCCAAATAAGACGAAACGCCGGTCTAGTGCATTCTGTTGAGGATTCTTCTAGACTCGATGAATTACTATATTGATTATTCTAATCCCCCAAATTCTATCACTTTACTTGACCCAGCTAATGATCCGCGATGGAGCGGCTAAGGGGAAGGAAGACGTTGCTCTTGGGAATTTGTGAGTAGCGGTGCTATATCGAGTTTAGTCAGCTTGTTCTTCGTCACTGTGGTGCAGTTGGTCCAGTGGTATGACTGCGTTTCATCGTAACGGTCCGGGTTCGATTCTCGGTAGGGAATGCGCACTGCAGATGAGTCCCAAATAGGACGAAACAGCTGCCCAGAGCTTTCTGTATTCTGTTGAGGATTCTTCTAGACTCAATGAATTACTATAATATTTATTCTAATACCCCAAAATTCTATCACTTATATATATATATAGAGAGATAGATAGATAGATAGATAGATAGATAATTAGATCAATATATAATATATATATATATATATATATATATATATATATATATATATATATATATATATATAAATTCCAAGAGGATAGAATCCAGGTAGAACTCAATGTCCAGACAGAGTAACAATATATATAAAAGGCTCAAAGACTAATATTACGATTCCAATGTAATAAATTATAACCATGAAATATTAGTGTTTGAGCCGTTTATATTATATATATATATATATATATATATATATATATATATATATATATATATATATCACTAGCCATATTTTTATCTTCTATCTATCTCAGTCTGTTCGTTTATATTTATCTCAGACTACTGATATCCAAGTCTTCTAATATCTATCTATCTATCTCAATCTATTCATATCTATCTCAATCTATTCTATCTATCTATCTATCTATCTATCTCAATCTATTCATACCTATCTATCTATCTATCTATCTATCTATCTATCTAAATCTATTCATACCTATCTATCTATCTATCTATCTATCTATATCTATTCATACCTATCTATCTATCTATCTATCTCAATCTATTCATATCTATCTATCTATCTATCTATCTATCTATCTATCTCAATCTATCTATCTATCTATCTCAATCTATTCATATCTATCTATCTATCTATCTATCTCAATCTATCTATCTATCTATCTATCTATTTCACTCTGGACAAATAGTTTTCTTTAAACTATTCTCAGATTGATTCTTCCTTGATGAACATCGTTTTCAGCGAAGTAAGAATTAATTTGCCAGCCGCTTATTATTCCTGGTAGTAGGTTTCCCCATAGGTAAAAGATAGGCTACTACACATTGAACTCAACATGAAAACCTGGTGAAAGCGGCATTTAAGTCATTTCTCACAACGGGAGCAGGATGGGACACATGGTCAGTTTAATATGGGACAAGGACAAAAACTGTCCAATAGCCACAACCACTGTCACGTTGGCATCGGTATCCATCAATTTTTTTTTCTCTTTAGTGTAATGGAGGACTTTGCTCGCCAAAATCGAGTCTCAAATGCGCGACACTCACTCAACCAATACGAATGTGTTATTTTCTTTTTGTTATTATTTCAAGATGAATGTAGGTGAGGGGCATCTTGGAATCTCCAGAGACAGGCATCCCCTTACGTCACACAGGAGAGTTATTTTACTCACTTCTCCGGGGTGGAGAGATTTGACACAAGGTCGTTTTTAATGCAGGATGTATATACGCATACAGACGGTCCAAGGACAAAAAAAAAAAAATAATGCTCCACGACCATTGTAACTCTGATTTAATTATCTCCCAATCTACCATCTTTCGAGCAACGAGGAAGGTGCTGCTTCAGGATTGGAATCTACGGGACGAGGCTTCTCTCTAGAGGAGCACAGATACCATGCTTTGTTTCCAGTTTGAAGGCTGACCAAGCCTTCCAATTTTTTTATTCACATAAGGAATGTTTTCGCTAAAGAAAAAAATTCCCCATTTCTAAGACAGCTAATTAATCATATTGTCTTCTGTAGTGAAAATAATTAACGTAAGTTAAATAAAAAAAAAAACACACCTTGAACGTTTGTATTGGGGTCTGCCTCATAATGCATCGTATCTCGTGGGCCTCACCGTTCGACAAAGGTTGTCCATGCTTGCTTTATATTATCCTTACTGCAGTGCTGTTGATCTGAGTGCAAAGTGTTACAAAGTATTCGAAATGTCACTATGCACTTTTATTTTTACTAACAGACATGTTTCTACATTGAATACAAGAGAAGAGTATGAATGAAAATCTCTATCTATAAAAGGCAGGATGTGTGTGTGTGTGTGTGTGTGTGTGTGTGTGTGTGTAACGAATGCACGGCCGCAATTTTCGACGGATTTGCACCAAAATTTACATGCACATGCTCCAAGTTAGCGGGAAACCCAAGACCGACTTTGCATTTCCCAACTGCCATCGATAGTGGAAATAATCGATTTTTCATGCTTCTACGGCAGTTTTCATGTAATTTGCGGCCATTTTGTACTGGCCAGAGTGAGAGCCTATAGCTGGCTGCCACGAATAGGCAGGAAGATTCTATTGGCCAGCGTGAGAGCCAACAGCTGACTGACACGAATGTTAACTAGCATGCTAGCATGCAAAAAAAATCGATAGCTGCATTCGTCACAAGTGGGAAAAATTTAAATCTGCATGGCACTTTACTCCAGTTGGCTCATTCGCTTGCTTAAACTCAACGTTGATTCTGATTCCGCAGAACTGGGTTGGGTGTGAAAAAGTATTTGTTGTTAACATTCTTTTTTCATTCAGTTTTTCCAGTTACAAGTCCTTTTTTAAAGCTGATCGTTTTGTGTTCATTTTGTTTAGTTCTTTTTCGTAACAGATTTAATGTTTAGTATAGAGCTTAGAAAAAATTCGCAGTGTGAGATAGGCAAGAAGTAAGGTATGTAGCAACATCAGCACGGTAAAGGGCATTCCTTTAAAGGCAAGGAAGGGTGAAAATATTTTAAGTCAAGTGATAGCGATTGCTGTATGAGTCGTACGATTTTTGAATCAAGCACGGGCAACGCCGGGCCATGCTGCTAGTATATATATATAAAAATTCTGTGATTTCCCTTAATCTATCCGTCTATCAGTCAACCCCTCTAAAATAACCATACATTGACCTATCGAAACTAAATTTTTGGGGGAAAATGCAAACAGGTAAAGGGAGTACAAAGTACAGTCGGTTTTACCAGGGTGCGTACCTTAGTACAATAAATTTTCATTAATTTTTTGAAAAACATTTTTTCAAAATCAGTTGCTTTCATTTCTTATGCAGCCATTTTTTTTTGTATAGGAAGTGTTTAAATTTTTGTCTGATGGCCTTATGAGCAGTTCGAAAACCAATATCCTGCTGCTGCGCTAAATTTCGTGATGATTTTCTTGGATTCTGCCGTATACTGTCAAAAATATCCAACAGTTTCTCTTCCGACAGCTTTTCTGGCCTTCCATAATGTTTGGCATCGTCCACTGATCCAGAAATTTATCAATAAACGAACTACATTACGATGTGGAACAGGTGTATCTGAACATTTATCAGCAAAACGCTGTCGAACCAAATCTGTGTATCTACCACCTTCTCGAATTACGTGTTCGACGAGAAATACAGGGTTCTTCAGGAGTTAAATCCATATTGGGTGCGGGGGGAAATTGAAATGCAATAACGTATGATTAGAAAGTGCTCAGTAACTTTCTAATTCTTTTTAGTTCAGTTAAATATCCTTTTTAGATCAGTTAAGTACGCGTGGTGACTAAAATGGTGTAGTTGTTTCTTATTTGGAACTGATTTAGCGTCTTTGAGTCTTTGGGATTTCTTTTTTGTTCGTTTGTTTTATGGTTCTTTAAAATTTCGTTTCTAATTTTGTGATCTATTGCCAGAAATATTTTACATCTGTCAAGAAGTTTCTAGAAATCGCTAACACACTGACAAATAATTACAAAACAAGAAAAGAAGGAAGTGAGAGAAACGCAGACGGAAGTGGAAAGGCAAGAAAAAAAGGAAAGATAAAGAATAGAAAGAAGAAATCGAAAAAGAAATGGAAGAAGAAAAAAGGAAAAGGAATGATAAACATTGGATTAATGAAAAGAAAAGAGAAAGACTGTAAAGTATAAAAAAAAACAGAGGGATACAATAAAAAGGAAAAAAGAAGAAGATAAAGAAGAAGGAGGAGGAGGAGACGAGGAAGAAAAAAGAGGCGGAGAAAGAGAAGAAGAAAAAGAAGAAGAAAAAGAAGAAGAAGGCATGGAAGAAGAAAAAAGCAGAAGGAGAAGGAGAAGAAGAAAAAGAAGAAGAAGGCAAAGAAGAAGAAGAAGTAGAAGAAGGAGGAGGAAGAGGAGGAGACGAGGAAGAAAAAAGGAGGCGGAGAAGGATAAGAAGAAAAAGAAAAAGAAGGCAAAGAAGAAGAAGAAGGAGGATAAGAAGAAAAAGAAGAAGAAATAAGAAGAAGGGTAAAGACAAAAGTAACAAAACAGAACACAAAAACAAAAGAGAATTGAAGAAAAAAAAAAAAAAAAAAAAAAAAAGCTTTGCCAGAAATGAAAAGAAAAAGGGAAGGGAAGAGAAAAGGAAAGGAAAGAGAAAATGGAAGGGAAGAGAAAAGGAAAAAGAAAAGGGAGGAGAAGAAAAAAGGAAAAAGAAAAGGAAAGGAAAGAGAAAAGGGAAGGAAAAAGAAAAGGGAAGGGAAGAGAAAAGGAAAGAGAAAAGGGAAGGGAAGAGAAAAGGAAAGAGAAAAGAGAAGGGAAGAGAAAAGGGAAGGAAAGAGAAAAGGAAAGAGAAAACGAAAGAGAAAAGGGAGGGGAAGAGAAAAGGGAAGAGAAAAGGGAAGGGAAGAGAAAAGGGAAGGGAAAAGGGAAGGAAAGAGAAAAGGGAAAACTCAGAGAAGAAGAAACAAAAAAGAGAAAGAAACGATGGTTTTGGAAAAGAAATTCAGAAAACTGAAAGAGAGACTTGCAGAAAAAAAAAAAACTTACGAAAATCTGAAGAATAATTGGAATTGAAGAAAGATGTAGAAATACTTGGAAAGGTGAGTGAAAAAAGAAATAGAAAGAGAAAATAAAATGACATGAAGAAAGAAACGAAACATAAATGAAGAAAAAAAATACATTAAAGGAGAATAAAAACAAACAGAGGAAGAAGAAGAAAAATATAAAAAAAAAGGGAAATTGCAAAAAGGCACCGAGAAAGAATTGGTATTGTTTTAGTCCAACGGACAGCCAATCCTTTTTTTACCAGATTCCTTATCAATTCTTTACGGGAATGCTGTTACCCTGAGATTTTATACATACAGTGTAACCCGGATAAAAGTGACCCGGATATAAGAGAGATTTTCTCTGGTCCCAAATTAGAGCCTGTGTTAATGTATATAAAATAGACCAAACCCGGATATAAGAGAAACCCGGATATAAGAGACTTCTTCTCCGGTCCCGACAACTCTCTTATATCCGGGTTACACTGTATATACATATAGTCCTAAAACATTAACTGAAATAGATTGTATTTTATATGGCTTTCAAACTAGGAAGAACACAAACTTATAGTTCCAAATCGTATTACGATTTTCTACAAAGACGCAGTCTTCACATTGGGACAGTTAACGAGACATTCTTCATATTGAGACAGTTGGAAAGACCGTCTTCATTTTGAGTGAGTGAGAATGTCTTCACATTGGGTTAGCAAGACAGTCTTCATTTTGGGTTAGTTAGTGAGAAGGTCTTCACATTGAGAGAGTTAACGTGACAGTCTTCACATATGGACAGCGAGGCAGTCTTCAGAGTGGGACAGTTTGCAAGGGAGTCTTCACATTGGAACAGATATCCAGACAGTCTTCACATTGCGTTAATGAGCAAGACAGTCTTCACATTCTGACAGTTATCCAGACAGTCTTCACATTGCGTTAATTAGCAAGACAGTCTTCACATTCGGACAGTTAGGAAGACAATCTTCAGTTTGAGTTAGTGAGAATGTCTTCACATTGGGCTAGTTGGCCAGACAGTCTTCACAATGGGACAGTGAGACAGTCTTCACAATGGGACAGCGAGACAGTCTTCACAATGGGACAGTTTGCAAGACAGTCTTCATATTGAGAAAGTTAACGAGACAGTCTTCACATTGGGTTAATTAGCGAGGCAGATTATGTAGGTGATGTATCTGTGGTGTATATGTTGGATGTATTTC